AATTGCAAGTTAATATGTAAAATTTTGTGTAATTGCATTTTAATTCAAATGTATCAAGTTGGTGTATCATGCTTAATGAGATGACCAATATTTCTGTTTGAAGTAATGTAACAGATTGCACTTAAGTATTATTAGAGTAATCAGATGATGCTAAACTTAGTTGTTAGGTATTTCTATATAATTGCAAATAGTAGTTTCAAGAATTTTAATAAAGTACTAACATGACTACTTAAAAAAAACACTTATATATTAACAGATATGATATATTTCTTGACTGATATCAAATTTTAGTAAATTGGCCAATTAGATTACAAAAACAAAAAGTTGTGGGATTAAAAGAATATGTAATAAGGCAAAACAAAAGCATTAATTCATCTGTTAAATTTACTCTTATTTTATAGAAAGTTAAGCTATCTGAGCTTTTAAAAATATTAATATAAAATGTATAAAAAAATTGTTATTAAATGTGAAACTATATCAGAATATTCTATGAAATTATAACAAAAAAAATTAAAAATATTATATATTTATTATAAAAAACAAATCAATAGATATGTGTCTTAAATTACATAGTGATTTAATAAAATTTAATTTTTCTTTAAAACAATTAAGGCTTTATTATTTTTATTTATTATCAGAGAAACTTTAATCTGAAAGTTTGTCTTTTTACAACAGTGAAATACACAGTAATTATAAATAATATAACAAAAAAAAAAATTTAGTCAGATCATATTATCTCATGCAATTCCAGATGTATTTGTTAAATATTTTTTTATTTTATTCACAAATACTATCTTTTTTAAATAACAAAATTTTAATAATCATTATTATTACTAATGCAAAGATAATTGTGAATTTATTACAAATCACATATTGCATTATTTTTGATCATTTTTGACAAAGATCAGATTGTGTAAGTTGTACTACATAAATATATATAAAAATGTAAGTTTCATTGTTAATTCTGCATCTTGTGTAATATTAGAATTATTTATAAATCAAAAAAAAAAGAAATATACAACCTCTGTCAAACAAGTACAAATATTGCTTTTTCTTCAAAAAGAGTACATCACAAGAACAGTAGGTTAAGCCTACTATGTTAACTTTTTCACAGTCTCACAAATTAGAAAAAAATGATTAGTAAACTATATACTTAAAGATTTAGAAAAGATTGATCATCCAACTTTGTTACATGAACTAATTCAAAAAAGAATAGTAAATTTAATTATCTTTCATCATTGTTCTATTACTGTTAAAATAAAGACCCATCTCAAAATAAATAAAGATATTGAAATTTTGATGTTTACTATTTGCTAGATACTCTGAAACCATAGTTTAGTATTAGGAATAAAAAAAAAACCTCTATCTAAACAATAGTTATCAAAAAACACAACTCACTTTTGTAAAAAAATATAAAAAATGAACCATCAAAGATTGATCTAAGGTAATTTGGTTGGATAAGTCAAGGTTCCAAATTTTTGAATTGAATAATAAGCAATATTATTGAAAGTGTCATGGAGAACCATTAAATCCATTCCATGTTAAGTCTACTATAAAATATGACAGGGGATCAATTATGATTTGAGATTACTTTACCTCTTACAGTATTAGCAATTATTGTAAGATTGTTTATATGATGGATATGGATCTGTATTTAAAAATATTTTATGAAAATTTGATGTGAATAATTGAGAATCATGGATTTGAAGTCAATGAAATTGTTTTTCAACAAGATGAAACATTTTGTCATATGACAACCTTGATCAAATGTTGACTTACAAGGAAGAAGATAAAATTTTTTTGACTGACCTTCCCAATTGACTGATCTAAACCTGATCAAACACTTGTGAAATGAAGTTTATTGTCAACTTAGGGACCTTCCTGGTCAAATTTCAAGTGAAAAGGACCTCTGGAAAAAAATTCAGATGGTTTGACAGACAATTGATATTGAAACCTGCATGAGGTTAATTCATTCAATGTCAGAATGAATCCTTGATGTAATTAGAGCCCGGGGCGGCTACACCTGATGGTGATAGCTGAAAATTATTAGAAAAAAAAATTTTTTTTATTTTACAATCTTGTTGCTGTTAAAACAAGCAAAAATAATGCAACACGTATATTGAAATAAAGCTCGTGCCCCCAAAAAATTTTAATCATTAAATTTTTAAATCCTTTTTATTAATGATAATATTGCTATTTGCAAATAAAAAAAAAAAAATTTAACAAATACGCCCGGAATTGCGTGAGATAATACGATCCAACTAAATTTTTTTTTTGTTGCATTATTTATGATCGCCAGTGTACAGCATTTTTATAGCTTTTACAACTCTAAAGAGCACTAGATTAGGATACTGGATTCTCTTCAATTCACGACCTACACTTAAAAACTTACCGATTTTGTCCTATAGAAAACATTACGTTATGTTACTTTATCGTAAGGGTTGATGGGTTTTTTACATTAAACGTAAGCTTCGCTCTATTATTTCATTACAAGAAATGACAAACATTAAATATTACGCTCTTTTTTCCTTTCCCAAACTTAAGCTTTCTTCTGTACGTAATAATTTTTTGGATGTTTGGGATTTGAGGTTGTTTATCATGATTCAGTCATTTATAACCGAATATCCATAGCCTCAAATCGTGGTATTTATGGCGTAGTTCTTCGGAAATATCAAAAAAAAAACTCCGGAGAGCTAATATCAAGACATTAAAAATGCATTTTGATCTTCCCTAACTTATATACTGATATAAAATTTGAGAATTAATCTTAAGTAGGTAGTTCCCTAACCTTTTATTAATAAATTTCAACCACGTAAATATTACGTTTAGTAATATATATGAAAATAGTAAAAAAACTTAATATAACATAACATTTTAAATAATAAAATTGTGTACATATAGCAGGAGTATCATTACACTGGTTAGTTTAAATAATAAGAATAAATAAATGAACCCAGTAAATAAACTGATAAATAAATTGATAAATAAATTGATAAATAGATAAATAAATACATACTAAATTACAAAATTAATGTATATTCGAGTTACAGCTATTTAAAACTAAGATAACAATTTTTTGAACATACTTATATTAATCATAATCTTAATAATTGCAGAATCTAACTTTGTATATACATATTTAATTTATTAAACCTTTTTTCCGTAAAATTTGTGTATACCAAAATATGATCTATAATTATTGGCTTCTGCAACAAGCTTTTGTAACTTTTCTTCATTTTCTTTTTTTGTCTTCACATCGCCAAATTTTGCAGAGATTCCACGCATTATATCATAACTATATGTCTCGCATGCATATTTCAGCTCTTTGCACCAAGAACCCATAGGAAATGGGCGACAAATATGAATAATTCCCTGTAACCTTCGAGTAGATTCTAGAACCTCTTGAATTCTACTGGTTATTTGAAGGTTTACGCCCCTAGAAGAAAGAAATTGAAGCACTATTATATAAGATAGTACGTTAGTAATCAGAAATGAAATGATAACATTGGTTTTTTTCAAAGATATTTATTATTCTTACCATTATCCACCATCTTTTTCATAATAGGACCGGCATTGTTCATATAAAGCTCGGTTTCTGTTATCTAGTTAAATAATAAAATGTCCAATACGAGTCAAAGCATATTACATATTTAGATAAATAAAACCATTTGTATTTACCTCAATATAACAACCCGATTTTAAGACTCGAATACATTCATTAATTAAATAAATCCATTGAGATTCTGTTAGATCATATGATAAGTTGCGCACGTATACGAAGTCGAATGAATTATCGCAGAATGGAAATCCTTCCAGAATATCAGCCAAAACAAAATTCACATTTTTTGGTTTATTGTCAACAAGCATCTTTGTCTTATCCATTCCAATGCATTCACAAAGTGGATAGTCGGATGATACTTCAAATAGCCAAGTACCTGAACCACATCTAAATGAAGAAAAAACAGATTGGTTTGATGAAATAGATATAACAAATATCCAAAACCAAAAATTACCATATAACATTATTACCCAACATCTAATATTCTAAGCCCGCCATATTTTAATTCATCATGAATAGGAGAAGAAATATTCCCTTTGAACAGTTCACGAACAATATTATGCCTTAAGCTAGCGTTTTCTATGTCAACATCTAGTTCATGGTCGGGACCATATGAGAAAATAGCAGATGAGTTTGAGTTCGATGAAGAATGATTAAAATTTTGATTATTGGGTCGTAACTTTTTTAAAGCGTTCCCCATTTTTTTTTTGTTTTTATAAAGAAGGTGGGTATAAAAGAGAGAATAAAATAACAAAAAAAAAAATATATAGAGTATGTAAGAGTGAAAATTTTGTTACATTAATTTAAATTTAATACTTATACTAATTAAGATCGTTTCACTAGCTAAAATTTTTATAAAGTATTGGGTACCATTAATTATCTAGATAATTTGTAGAACAAATAATTATTGTAATCATTGTAATTTCCAGGAATTCTATATCAACATTTAACAAACTGTAATGAAACTTTTTTGAAAAATAATCGAGCTGATAAATATATCATAATAACTCCATTTTTATTTTGCTCAGTAAACCTACAAAACTTTAAAATAAATGCACTATGAATGCATGCTCTCTGCAATTACACACATCTTACTAGTTATATGTCACTGAAAAGTACATTTAGCGTTATTCTTTGTATGACTAATAACGCTGTAACGCTTTTAAATTTTCATGTTCTAAAAAATCTTAGCGATTACATAATTATTCGAATTCATTATTCCGAATTAAAAATATACTAACTAAATTCCGAATTAAAATAGACTAACTAAACTAGGAACGTGTATGACCATGAAAGATATAGATACGAAATGCACCACGTGGTTGAACTAATCAGGTCATAAAAACAATTAGAGTACGTAACGTATAAATTTTCCATAGTAGTAAATCCAATATTTACTGTTAGGATCATGATCGCAACAAAGCTTAATTTACATCAAATTTCGCGTTTTTTTTTTGCTAAAGCGAGAACGAGGTTCCATAAATCGGCGATTTTTTCAGGTTATACTTGATTTAGGTCGATCATCTATTTCAGGTATAGTGAAAGTTAGCAGTGCAGATTTTGTGCAAAATGAGCGAAAACTAGTATTTGAAAAAACGATTCATTTCACATACCAACTATATTTTTCTAGTAATTTTTGCACAAAACAATTAGTATAACATAGCAAAAAGAAGTTATGATTTAAGATTTATAATTAAAATATCTTTAAAGATTCGTAATAAATTCGTGTATTACGTATATGCTTAAATTAAAAATAAATTGGCTTTACAAAAAAAAAAAAAAAATTTAAAAAATAAATTTATTGGTTGCTAAAAAAAAATAATTGGCATATAAGATGAAGATGAATCAATTTTTCAAATACTAGTCTTCACTAGTAAATTTTACGATTTTTCCAATATCTGCACAAAATCTGCAATACTAATTTTTACTGCAATACCTGACAGATTTGATTAATTAGTATATCTTAAGCCCCAATATTTCTGGTCCTATTGGATAACTGTGAAAAATATCTCTATCAACAAGAAAAATCTATTCGAAATTTTAATATAAACTATCCCTTACCTCCCTTGACTTTAACCCTATATAAGGTATTATTGTTTTAAAATTTTGTACATTATTCAATTATTTTAATTGGTGCTCTAAATGTTTTATGGATATAGACGTATGCAAAGATATTAAAATTATAAATTCAGTATCACGGGGTGAAATAAAGTATATCAGATAAGTGTTATAGAAATATATTCTGACTTTTGATGCATACCGTGTCAATAACAGATAAATATTACAGTATCAGTTAATGGTGTAGCAATCGAGACTTGATAGCTCTATCAGATATGAGGAATGGACCAAGAACCACCATCTGACGCTTACTTTCAGATGGGGTTTTCCTAGTCCATTCCTCATATCTGATAACTTACAATAGCTAATATGTATCAAAAATCAGGTCATATTTCTATAATATTTCTATAATATTTATCTGATATACTTTATTTCACCCTGTGAATCATTTTAAAGCTTTCTCCGTACACATCGTTTCAACTTATGCATTAGTTTAAAATTTTATATATGTATTGTGATGATCATTAATCATTTTTTTTTTTATTAATTAGCGACTGTAAATAGTAAAGCATAAAATAAACTGCAATATCTCTTGAATTAATAAATGTACATAAATAAAATTACATTTATTAGACTTCTTTTGATGTGTTTTTAACGCAACGAAGTCCTTTATTTGTTATATGTACTAAGATAATAATAAAAATCATTTATTAATTTTTAAGAAAAATAAAGGGCATCGTTACGTTAAAAAACATTATGTCTAAGAAATGTAATTTTATTTGTGTATATTTAAACGTTTTTTTTTTAAAAAAAAAAAAACTATCCAAAATCAGTGTTGCACGCACGTAAATTACCTAAGATTACCTAAGATGCGGTAATATATTCAATAAAGATATATACGTATTGTAATGGATTAAAAATAAAAAAAAATGCAATAGTATAATTCTATTTGACCAATCAATTGCAAAGAAAGCAAATTATAATTTAAGTTATAATTTACAAATAAATTACCAAATTGTAATTTAAGTTATAATTTACAAATAAATTACCAAATTGTAATTTACCGTTACGGGTAAATTCCCTCATAAGTCAGTAAATTACTGATCTTGTCCAATACTGATACCTCGTTTTTGCTTGGGCTAGGGTACTTAAAGACTGGGGTATGTGTCTTGCATGATCCAATTAGGTTTCTGGCCTTATAGTACAAGGTTGTTTCATGCGGTCTAATTGGTGATCCAAATTGTTAGTTAAAAAACCAACTACTAATGATTAGAATCTATCCGAAATTTTTGGTCGATTAGTCAGTCGACTAAATCTGTTATCCATCGGTTGACTAAAAATCGATTATTGCGATTTGCAAAATTCTGGATTTCATTGATCGTTTGAGCGGGGTCAGAGGCAAAATCTTGACATCCACCAAACCCAAAAAAGGATCGTCATAGTGGCCTATTTACCAAATTGGTAGTACGCATGACGATCCACCTGAAACATATACGCCAGGACCCGATTGATCGAGGAAGGATCGTACGTCAAGCCCCAGCATGGAGACCACCACCCACCCAATAAGTAAAAGTCGATCGAGACTTACCTGTTCACACCGTAACGGCTGGGAATGGACGTTAGTTTAATATTACCCCGTTTGGGTAAGGGTGAGGCAGTGGTCAAAGAAGTGCGATTGTGTTGACAATGTTAACATTTTACCACGGGAAAAGTGATACTGAAACATTTCTCTTCTGTGCTATTTCGACCGCGAGAAATACTAAAGTAACGAAAGGCTGTGTATGGGAAAGGTAAAAGTTAGTACAAATAAGGTGAAATGAGTTGGGAATCCAATGAAAGTAATGGAGAAGGGTTACGGTCTTGTACGTACCTCTCTTGCAGACAATTTGTTATAAATGGAGGTGAAATTTTCCCTCTTAAAACGGTGTAGAAGTGTCTCCCCTAAATAATAAAATTTGTTAATAAAGACCCTCTGAACCCACAAAATAATAACCATCCTTTAAAAAGTCTCTGTCCTTATCTCAAAAGCCGCCTTAACCCGTGCTAACTCGTTCTTACCTTTGAGCAACGTTACGCGACGTTAACGATTTCGTAACGACAATTCGTCGCATTTTTTCCATCTGCGTTCCCGACCATCTTGCCTGTAACAATAATTACGGTAATTACCCATCGTTAATTTACCCGTTCTGAGATTAATGTCGGCCAAAATTAATATTAACGCCACAACAGTTTGGTAACTTATCGTAGCTTTCCCGGTAATTTACCAATGGTAACTTACTGGGGTATCTCACACAAATATAGTGCCAGTCATATGGGGGTGAGTCAGTAGAAACGCACCATATCATTTTTAATGAATCTTTAAACAAAAATAACTTAGCAAATACTTAATCAAATTTAATAAATTTTTTTTTTTAAGTGAATTCTATAAGTTTTTGGAATTATTTTGTTAAGTTATATTTGTTAAAGTTTTAAAAAAATTTACTTAGAAAAAATACGGTGCTTTTCTACTGACTAATCTCCATATAGTGAAAATCACCAATCAAATTTTTTCTAGTGATTTCCGAAATCATTATAGAAAAGTGATATCAACTATTTTTTATTTCTCTTGAAGTAATTTGTATTTTCAAATTCTATAAACTGTATCTGTCTTATGAAACATAAGTTCGAAAAGTGACAACGTTAAATTTTACATATATAAGTATAAAAAATCATAATGGTTAGATTTTATATTTAGTTTATATGGAATCAGGGACACGGAAATATTCTTTTGATTTAAAGCAAAAATTTCGATTTATTTCGATTTATTTCGATTTATTTCGATTTTGGTTAAAATTAAGTTTCAAGTCAATATTTCTGGCCGGAATTATTATGATCACGTGGTTATTGAATTTCAGAACTTACCGCTGTACTACAAATTTTAATCACACGATAATATTTGCTTGAGCCAATAATCTCATTACATGTAATTATTTTTATATGCAACTTGGAGCAAAAAAATTGTGAAAAATTTCGATTTGGGCAAAAAATTTTGGCTTCTTTTGAAAAATTGCTTATGAGCAACTTTAAAATTCTAACCATTATAATTCTTTATATATTATATGTAAATGTAATATTACTTTTTGAATATATGCATTATAAGTAGGGTTCAGGGCATGGGAAAAAAATTGGGCATGCCCATATTGGCATGCCTCTGAGCTAAGGCATGCCCTTTTTAAATCATATGATTAACACAGTTTAAAAATCTGGATACGTATCATTTCATCGACGATCACTTCACCGAACACCCTATCACACAGCGTAATGAGTAATATTGAACAATAATTATTAATCATCAAACAATCGTTAAATATTAACCATCGCTCTGTGCGATGGGGTGTTCGGCGAAGCGATTGTCGATGAAATGATACGTATCCAAAAATCTTACATGTTGATTTAGTATCTACGGTTCTAGTTTACCTGAACTTATTAGCCAATTAAAATAACTTTTAACATCACATGACAAGAGCATGCCATTTGGACTTGAGGCATGCCCATAGGCATGCCCCATGCCTCTGTGCCCTGAACTCTAATTATAAGGCATAAATATAAGACTTCAGGAGAAATAAAAATTTTAGCAATATCACTTTTTTATAATAATTTAATAGGAAATAGTGATTTCACTATTATGTTTGTGATTAAACTGGTGTGAGATATTCCAATAACTTACTATTATTGTGCAAACTCTATGATCAGATTTTTTTCGTTATTTTTTGTGCAATTCTTCAATGTGTGCCAGGTTTGTAGCGCAGCAAAAATTCTTTAAAGTTCATTTATGTTGCGGTTAGGTTCAGAGTTGGGATTAGAGAGGAGTAGTTTATATAGTAAATTGCCCAATGAAACCTTTTTATTAGGTGATTTCTTATGCTGATTTTTAAGTGGGTGATTTTTGACAACGAACGTTTGTGTTCCGTTACGCCTGATCTTGAAATCTGATTTAGTTCAGGAAATCTGCGAACACACATTGATGATCAAATCACTGAATTTGTTGGTCAAGTGGTCTGGTTAAATTGGTCAAATGGTCTAGACTATTAAATAAGTATATGTTATTGTCCACGAAGTGGACAATAACCAAAAATCCAACCCAGATCAGATGATCGGATAATGACGGAATGGCCACTAGCTGCGAAGCAGCCAGTGTGCCATTCCGTCATATCCGATCATCTGATCTGGGTTGGATTTTTGGTTATGTCCGCTTCGCGGATAATAACTGATTTATTCCCAGGTTCTAATTATACTTTTATAGTTTTCTTTCGATGAAAAGTGACGTAGTTCATACAATTTAAACTTTATATAAAAAGAATTTGATCTAAAAAAAAAAAGGTTCTTCTTAAATCGAAAAAACTTTCGTTTTATTTCAACTCATGAATTAATCGAAGAGAATACTATATCAAATATGTCAGAACATGAAAGTATTAACACAATATTCAATGATACTTAAAAAAATCTAAAATCAAAAATACCGATTCTTGTACCCAAAAATGGGTTCGAATTTTACAAGACTATCGTAAGAAAAAGAATATACCATATGAAACCCAAACATTAGCGAATAAAGAACAACTTGAGCATGAACTATTTGAATTTTTTGCTGATATTAAGCGACAGGATGGAAAACATTATAAAGTCAAATCAATTGTATTAACTTACATCTCTCTTCGACGTTTTTTATTTGAGTTCTTCCGCAAATTAAAATTTTTTGAAGTTATAGAATTTTAACTGTTTATAATTTAAAAAAAGGAACTGGACCAATTCGAACAATTCTAAATAATTTTACTTCAAAGTATTGACACTTTTAAATAATTGACTAGAACCGAACAATTTTAAATGCACATAATTTGAATAAAGTATTCGACCTGGTTCTGATAATTGGTATATGTAGTTATAGCCTAAAAAAGTTTTGGCCCAGTTTAGAGAAATTAAAAACTCCGGACAGCCCGAATCTGAAATCTGGGCAATAAGCATGAAAGAAAAGTATGGAAGTATAAATAAGAACCGGGGAATAAATATATTATTTGATCAATTAAATAAATATATTATTTGATCAATTTGGCCAATACTAAACCCCCTTGACTAGGATCAAATTGGTCATCTGAGCCAACTCTGATTATTACGTAAGCACAACAATCTCAGTTAGCCAAACACGACTTGTAAATTATAATCATAATTGAATGATAACAAAATTTGTTCTGTCGTGCCGCTACATGGCACATGTCAGCCAATCATTTGCTCTAACATAAACTTTATGATATTAATACTTTACAACCAGTGTTGGCAGCAATAGATAAATAAAACAATAGAATAGAGCTTAGAATTTAAAATAAAATAAAATTTTTGTCAATAGAACAAAAAATTGTCAACAAGATTATAATTGAATATTAATATAGCAATAAATAAATAAAACAATAGAACAATAGAGTAGATTATAATTTTTATCAATAGAACAAGAAATTAACAACACTGTTTATAACTCTAATTGTGACATTAAACCTAGATATTATACAAATAATCATTAATTTTGATTAGCAATAGGTGTTAAATCATTATTCAAATTAATTTTACTAGCTAATCATATTTCAAGATCTTGTGTAAACAAAAAATCAAACTAAAAAAACATTTGCAGCTTAAAATTTTGCCAATAAAAATGTTTTTTACATACTACTAAAAATTTTTTTTATGAAATTTTACTATGCTAGATGTTATTATATATATAGCAACAATAGTGTAGTTTAGGAATATTTTATTTATACATTTATATTCAATTGATATATCTATGTATTACTATTTTTTCTACTTGATATTATATAATAAAAAAAAAAATAAAAAAAAATAAAAAAAGATTACAAAAGTATTGCTGTTAGATTTTAAAGTGCAATAGAGTATAATAGATCTAATAGATTTGCATATAAGTTTAGAGTATTAAAAAAGTTAGAATTAAGTTTTCTTTCAAAGAACTTAGCTGTAAGATTAGTAAAAATATTAAATATACATTTGTTTTGTATATAGTTAGTGTTAAAGTAGCATCCTATATATTGTTTACAAGTATAATTAACTAAAGAGCTTAGTTTAGTATATGAAGTATTAAAGTGAATTAACCAATATGTTATAAATATTATATCATCTATTTAGTTGTATTTTTATGCCTTGCCAATGGCAATATTGTTGTTATGATTATAAGCAATTATTCAGAATTTAGATGCATGTTTATAATGTTCAGTAGTAAATGATATAGAATTAGTATGAGGTAATTGCAACTAAGAATTTATTTGTCTAAATTGGTAATTAGTAATAATTGTATTTTTAAGTATAATAAATCAGAATAACTTATAACCTTTAGGTATACATTGTAATTATAAAAATATATGCTTCCAATCAAGTAATACAAAGTTGTATAATGTTAATTGTTTAAAGTATATTATTTTTTTAGTACTGTAATAAAATTTACTAAAAACTAGCAAGCTGTAGTAATTTTTAATAGCATAAATGTCAAGTAAAGAATCTTTTATTTAAAGAAAAATAAAATAAATAAAAATAATCAAAAATAAAAAATAAATATTTAAAAATAAAATTTAAATTCAATAGCCTTCTAAGTACTATAAGGTACAATAATAAAACTAGTTTTTAAACTAATCCTACTGTCAATCTGTGCAGATCAGATATAACAAAATGTTTACCCTGTACAAAGATTATTAAACTTTAAAACATTAAAAAAGTTTATAGAATATAATCAAAAGAAGAAAAAACCCTAATAATTAGACTATTTACAGCTATATATAGCCTTTAAATTCTAATAATATAAAGCTAGTATTTGCCAAATAACTCATTAAAAAAATGCAGCTATTTACTTTATATTATTATAAGAAAAAGAACAATAAAATAAATAATATAAAACTAGTATTTGCCAAATAACTAATTAAGAAAACCCGCTTTTTATTTTATATTATTATAAGAAATAAAAAAGAAAAATAAAAGAAATAAAGATAAAATATAAAGAAAAATAAAATAAAGAATAAAATAAAGAATAGTTTTTATAAATAATATTCAAAGAATAATAGTTAAAGATTATTTTATTAAAAAGTTTTTAGTTAAATAATTATTACAAGAAGCTTATTATATATATAAAAGCAAAACTTTTAAAAATTGTTCTTTTATAAGGACAAAAGGCTATCTTTTTTATAGCTTTTAACCTAATAGTTGATTGGTTTTAGAGCTACCATATGTTGTAGCATCATTTTGGACTATATGGACATCCAAAATGCAACAGAAATTAAGAAATTTTATGTGCATTTTACTAATAATGCTTGTGCACAAATGATAAACTAATACTGTATTTTTCTATATTTACCAATGCTTGACACTTTATTGTACAATAACTTATATATTAACTAAAAATAAAACAAATATTATTGTGTAGCTCATATGCTCATTTACAAAACTCTCTATAGTTATTTAGCATTCAGAAGCCTTCTTACAGATATTGTCCTAAGCACAACTAAAAATTACTATAGTAATATATAAAAAATATATATATATATTTTTTTATCTTTGGCAGTCTTGCCAATATTCTTTATTAAGAGAATTGCATGTTTAATTATACAAATATTAGCTTAATTTCTAGGTTTGACATTCTCTAACTACTGTACTAGTGCTTAGAGATGGCCTGTCACACTAGTATGAGTTGTTACTCATTACTAGAGGGCTATTCAGACTAGTTTTTAAGATTGTTTTAGTAAGGCCTCTTGTTACTATTAATTAACTTTTATATTATATTCTTTTATAAATTTTTTATTTTTTTTTTTATTTTTTTTTTCTTTTGTACTCTTTTCATTTTCTGGTTTTTTATTTCTTAATTCTGCTATTACTTTATTTATTGTTCTAGTTTGTTGTTTTGATACTTGGGTCTTGTTTTCTTTCTTTTTGTACTAATGCTTTGACTTTTTTTCTATTCACATATCTTGCTGCATCTTTTTTTCATATTGTTTCATAAAACCTATTTTATATTGTATCTATAGTGCTTGCTAGAAAGTTTCTTGTTTTTTTCAGTAAGACTAATATATCTTGTACTCTTTCAACTACTTTTTCTTATAAAAGACCTTTGATAAACTTCTTTCATGCTTCTGTTTTTTCCTCTTTTGTTTGGCCCTAAATTGCTTCTTTAGTTATATTTGTGTAGTATTTCTTTTTTTATTCTCTAATAGCTTACTTCTTGCCACTGTTATTGCTAGTGTTTTTGCTTTTAACTAAAGGTTCTTGTAAGCTAAACAGACTGCTAAGTGATCTTGATCCTCTTCTTTTCCTTTTTTGTATATAATGCAGTTTGGTTTTGTATATAAATCTGGATATCTTGTTGCTAGTTTTTTAAATATTAGCATTTTTTCTTGTATACACTTGAAAAGCATACTAAGTTTTTTACTTCTTCTAATTAAACTACATCTAACTCCATTCAGATTCTTGATTTTTTTTATAACAGCACCCAGCAATGCTCTTTTTTATCTTGTTCTGGTTCTAGCTTTTTAACTACTAATGAAAAACTTCAATTTGCATTGTTTTTAATATTAAGAACTTCCTTAACAAAGTTTTGTGTTGGGCTTTTTACAACTATATTTTTCCAAAGAAGTAATACATTGGATTTTAAAACTGGCTCTACTATAATTTTATCTGGATTTAGCAGATTTGCTCTTTCTTTTGCTAAAACATCTGCTCTATTATTCTATTTGTTATTGCTATAACTCTTTACTTTAACTAACTCTAATTCTATTATTTTTGTTTTTATCATGTTTTCTATATTCATAATTAGGTTGTAATTTTTTTTTTCATTCTTTTGTTGGCTGCAAATTGGCTGTTATTAGATATACTTGCTATAGCTGCTGCACTGTCTGTATGTATTTTAATTTTGCTTTCACTTAGTATTATAAGAATTACATAGCTAACAGTTCAGTTTTGGTTGAGAAAGACCATTCTTTTGTTCCAATAGCACCTTTGTTGATTACATATTCTTTTTTATTGTCTATTTGCAACCAACTAGCTCTTATTTGATTTAAGCCTTGGTCCTCTTTCTTTGTTTTTACCAATAACCTATCTGTATAAAAGATCAGTTCTTTTTGTTTATTGTTCTTTTGAATATACTTATGTTTTCTCATAAGTAAGTTGATGAATTTGTTACTAATTCTTTGATTTTTGATAATCTCAATATCTCTATTTTCTATTATAATTTCTTTTATATGTCTTTTTGTATCTAATGTTTTACACTTCTTTTGTGCTATAACTTCTAATATGTTTGTATTAATTTCTAACTACCAAATATCTTTTTTTTTTATATATTTTGATAAAAAATCTTGAATCTCATGTTTTTTATACTTTTTTTCATAGCTTTTGACAGAACTAAGATTATTATACAAACAACCTTTGTATTTTACTAGCATAGTTTTTTGTTTTTCTGTTTGGAATCTTGTCTTCCAGTATTCGATTTAGAGTATCTTGGATGTTCTGAATACTATTCTTCCAATTACTAGTTCATTTCTTTGTAATGTGGCTTATTGTTTATAAGAACCTATTCTTTTTGTCTTGCATTATCTGAAAGCTTGCCTACTTGTGCACTTATTCTCTATTTGTTTGAAGCTGTCATTTTAAATTTCTGCTTTACTATTTTATAGCTTGGCTCTTCTATCATCTTTATTTCTAAGTTTTTAAACTAGTTGGCTGATCTGTCTTTGGCATTG